CGATGCGAGGTGGAAACTGTAGTCCAATTCTGCCTGGATGAGAACAACTTTTGGGAATGCAAGGCCATGTTAAAATTAATGGAAGCGTCAGCTCTATTCATATAATTGTGGAAAAATTCTACTACCAGTCCTTCATCACCTTAAACGAAATATGACTGATTTACTGGTAGTCTCAAAACTAAAGCTAAGCACGTGTTCACCGAAATCGAAGAAGATTGTTTTGGAGACTGCTTTAGCAAATATGTTAAGGTCAAGCCAAACAACAGGTGGACAAGAGGAATTCGGCGTTGTCTTATGGTGGGATCGACCTTAGAGTATCTTGACCACACACTTTTGCTCGAAATATAAGTGAGATCAACACGTACAAACCAACTGACTCATCAAAACCCAACTTTTCTTCCCATCTACTACGGACGGACCAAGGGCTGAGCCGAATGGGAGATTTGCCTACCGGTCTTGCTTCAACCTGGATAAGCAGACGTGCAGTAGACGTGAGCTGCGGCTGGCCTCGGTCTGCGACACGTACATACAGACGCAGACTCTTTGTGCGTTCCTTGCGCCCGACGGCGCCTGGAATGGTCAGCCTGCCCTGTAGGTCCGTCTCCGCAGGATCCAGGTCGTGGCAAATCTCGGGCGCTGGGTTGCCGATCAGACTAAGCTGGCCTGTGTGGGGGTCCAGATCGAAAGCGCTGAGTGTCGCGGCCGCAATGCCTTCGTGAATCGAGTCCGTCCGGCCCGAGTCCAAGCCTCGTCTACTGCGTTGCTCCTGAAGGTCGGAGGCGTTGCCAGGCAGAGGCTGAGTGCCGTTGTCCAAGGGAGCCTTCGCCTCGGCCACCGGCGGTGAAAGCCCCGAAAGCGTCGTGCCAGAGGGTCGCAACAAAGAGCCCTCCAAAGAAGTGGTATTTGCATCGGTTCCACTGGTCGTTGTGGAACTGATGCTGGCCGGAGTGGTGGTGACTATGACGGCGGTGGTGGGCAGGACGTGAGCAGTGTTGTTAGCTGAGTCTGAGCCCGACAGGCTCGATTTGGTGGACCGAGGAAGATGGAAACCGGTCTCCATCAGCACCTCAAGGCTGTACTCGAGCTCAGAGTTGAGTCCCGCATCAGAATCGTTGGCAACCAGGTGGGCGATGATGCGAGGTAGGTCGGCCGACCTGGGGCATGGTAGAATAAAGTTGCCCTGATCGCGTGATATGGGGGGGGGCAGGAGGTGGGGTCAAGTCAGAAAAGGATAAGAATAAAAATTAAATACTAAAAGAGCTAAGAAGAGATTACAATCAATTGACTCGAGTGACATGCAGGCGTCGTTAATCAATATCATTTTGTTGCTGGGGCCGATCTCTTTCTAGTCAATTTAGGTTATATTAGATGATGAAGTAATGATGGATAAATTTTCCCACAATCATATGAATAGATCTTATATGTCCATTAAATTTTCAATCCAGTTTGAATTTGACTGCAGTTTCGACCTCATCTGGGTCTCATCAGCACCTCCAGTGTGATTCGAGCTTGGGCTGTACAGCGTATCATCCCGACATGTTACCAAGATGCCCAACTATCGTAGGTCAGTAGTGAAGTCCAGGCAAGGTCAAGCCTCTTCCAAATCACAGTTATGGTGGGATTTACGATAAGGCAAATATGTGTTTTAAATAAGAACTGTGTGCATCCTAAATCGTTTAAAGTGATGAATGACTAGTAGCTTAATTTCCTCACAATCATACGAGTAGCCTTCATGATTCCATTGAATTTTACATAATCTTTCTTCCCAAAATGGATTATCATCCAGACTGCAGTCGACTGCAGTTTCGATCTCATCCTCAGCGGTACTTCAACCTGGATAGTGCAATGTAGCGATAAACATGTCGGAACTATGCGCTACACTACCACAACCCGGGTTCGAGTCCGACTGAGGGTGCTGAAAACTTGATGAGGCGAGGTTGGAACGACATTCCTGCCCATCCTGGTTGGGCAAGACTATATGAAATTCAATGGAAGCATGGGGCCAACTCATATGATTGTGGAATAATGTGAAATACCAGTCCTCCATCACCTTAAACGAAATAGGATGAACACAAATCTTATTCAAGATCAACATTTTTTGTCTCGAAACCCTACTTAAAGCAATAATAAAGTGTATTTTGCCATTTAAATCGATTACATTACTTATATTAAGGCAAAATAGGTTTTAGAGAGTAGTATATCTTGCATTAGATTTCTAGGCACTATATGTGAGAATGAGACATATGTCTACTCATGCTCATGAATGGACCTAAACAACTAATTTTGGATATACTGACCGTAATACCAACCAGAATAGGTCTACTATGATGGAGGTTTATGAATTATTCTGTATCATACCAGAATGCGACTTCCATCGCATACCTAAGCCCCAGGTGTGTGCTTCCACTGTGCCCGAAAGCTAGACTAACCCTCCCGTCATGTATTTCGGTGGTGGCTCCTTTGCCTCTGGACACATTCATGTCTGTCTTGAATTTCGGCAGTAGTCTAAAATCGAAACTGTAAAGCCCCTTTTAAAGCGGATACACACCTGAATTGAATAATAAAATAGTTGTTCGAATGCATCAAATCTTCAAGACATGGCAATTAAAAAGTGTCTATTTCATTGAAACATAAAGTTATAGACGGTGGTATCAATGAATCCTTTGATTCATCTTTATTTAGCTCAAATTCAACTCATCTGAAAATGTGTGAAAACGAGATTCTTAAGCCGGTCTTACCAGACTACGACGTCTACTCAGACGTCGCTCTCCTGTAGTTATACTGGGAAGTTCCTCATCACACCCTCTTTCTGATCAAATGGCATCATTTGCCTCCAACCAAAAAGCTAATTTCATCTAGCAGACGTGTGTTGATTATTAAGCAATCTTGGTGATGAGTTTATTTGTGTTAAGCATAAAATGTGATTATACATTGGTGATCTGGAAAGGAAATTAAGCTTTATTTTTACTTCGCTTCCTACCTGGCCTATAATACCGACACACATACACAAATCCACACGCGAATTCGCTATCGAAAATGTATAAACGGATAATGGTTTTGTTAGTTATCTTTTGCATTGGTCCTGCTACCTTTGTTAGTGTGTGTGTTAACGTCTATACGCAATACCGGTCCTAAACCAGAGTGAGCAAAAAGGCCAATATCAGGCTCTAGCCATCAAGATTTAATGACCCAAGAAAAAGCCCTAACCGAGACTGCGTAAATCCGTAGGAAAGTACGGTTGAGATAATGAGATATAAGCTTGTAGGTGTGTAAGTCAAGTTACGAAACCACCCGCATCAACTTCTAAGTCTAGAGTAATTGAAGTTTAACCACCCAAGCGAAGGCATGACTGGGATTGCATGATCTA